CACCGAAGAACGCTCTTGACAAATCCGTTAAAACCTCCTCTGAATAACAAAAATTTTTAAATTGTAACATGTTTCTGCAAGTTCCTCTTCTGCATTAATTACGAAAAGCGCAGGAATATGCAGCTTTTACGGCATAACATATTATGAAAAGAACAAGGTAAGCAGGAGACCGAATACGTTATTTATGAAAGATACAAATTTTATTTTGCAGCTTTATAAATAATAATTGACTATTAACTTGAAATTCATTTTAAAGAAAAATGCTTAAGCAGTTTCGAAGGGCTGCATCTGATTGCTTCTTGAAAAGTCTGAACCCTTTCATGGATGATCAGACATGATTAAAAAAATAAATGCCTGACTCTTAAACTCGATATTCAATGGCATTTTTAACCTACGGTTTTTGTTAAACCGCTTTTCTGTTTTAGGAAATTTTGTTAGATTTCACTATAATTTATGATATCAGTATCTGAAGCTACAAAACTGAGAAAATGCAATGCTATTCTTTAGTGGGTAAAGGTTAAAAAGTACGGAAATACTGTAATTCGTTTTGTGATCCTTTCCTATTTCAAAACATTTCCCTTTCTTTTATAAAAAAAAAACAAAAAATATGAGGGTCGCGCTATTTTTTCACTCTTTTTACCTTTATTAGCCCAAAGGGGCATTAGACCCGAGGGCTGTTAATCTCAAAACGGCATTTTGCATCGTTTCACTTTCTGCGTTGGTTCACTTTTCAAACTGTTGCCACAAAATATTATTACCATGTATTATATTTAAAGAAACTAATTAATGAATAATCTGCAGGAATGCAGGAATGTTTCTCGCACCTTGAAAAAACAACGGTACCAAGAGTCGTCAAATTTTGAACAACGCAGTTCTCCAACCGAATATGGGCACTTGGAAACCCGAATGTTGTATTTCGGATTTGTTTTATTATCTATTTCACATTTTCTAAAACTTCAACGAATTTTTGGTTAACAAATTCAGCGATTTCAAGGCGAGCAACAGCAACACTGTACGAAAAAAAAATGTTCTTATCTCCAGCGCTCGAGACTGTGTATCGGAAATTATAAAGATATGCTGTTTCGCTGTTTCTAAATATTTTGTGATATTACTGTTAAATTGAATTTTATGTGGTTTAAAAGCGAATAACATGATATTTAAAAATAAAGGTAACACAGAAAACAAAACGTTAAAAAAACGCCCTTTTGGGTATAATATAAAAATCTGAAAGCTTCCAAATTTTCTTTTTTTAACTGACCCTTTTTTTTTTTTTTTAGTAAAGATTTTGCAGCTTCTAATGAAACAGAGTTCAAAGCTTTTGACTAAACTGTTCAACTTAAATATCTTGATGCTTTCCATTACAATTATATAAAATTCCTTCAAAAATGCTACCAGTTTCATGAATATGCATTGTGACAACATAATATGGACAATTAAACGGAATTTCGCAAAATGAGCTCATTTAAAAATGGATGTAAAACAGAGTATAATTTGAAAAGGGAATGAGAGATTAAGAGAAGTAATATTTGGAAAGATGAGACATACTTGTGAAAGAAGTATCAGGATCATCTGCCTTTTTCTTAATCTCTAATAAATAACCATCCATAAAATCACGGATGTTATTTGGATCCAAAGTCTTTTCGTGCTCCTCCAATTCTTTTCTAAAAATTTAGCATAATTAGATATGTTGATATTGATTACTATAAAAAGAAATGCATTAACGAATCTCTAATATTACTTCATTAATACATTATTTACTTACTGTATTATTCACCATTTATCTTTCTTTCTATAAGACATAAATTTTAGCTCTTATTTTGCTCTTTCATCATGACAGATAGCTAACCCGATATTCTACTTTACCATTATGCAGAATTTTTTCTTTTCTTTTTATTTTATTTTATTTATGAAATTTAGAATATTAGGTCTACCACATATTTTCATTCAAATACCATATATCTTTCAGTTTTATTCCTATATTACTAAAGTTTCTTATAGTTACAATTTTCTTTGTTTATTTATCTCATCTTCAAACATATATATCATAATATATATATATATATATAAAAAATATATGATGCTGCTCTACGTAGGCAACCTCTAATTAACTTTCCGCAATTTAGGATCTCCCTCCACAGACTTGTACCTTCAAGAACATTCTAGCCTATTACGTTAGTATAAATAGCTAGTATGAATAATGAATGCGCGCCGTTTTGCGAATAGAAGCTTCCCTCTCCCTGTGCTGTTAAAACCTACGCTGCTGCTCCCACCTTCCTTTCCTCTATGACGCAATATATTTAAAGTAATCTTATTTAGTAAGGAAAATTGATCTGTTTCTGAAATTGAAATAAAGATATGGGATAGGAAAAAGTGAAATCTTGTGTCTTCTTTGGATACCGCCTTAACACTCTGCTACAGAAATTCCTGGAATTTGATGCCAAGCCTCGTCTTTCATGTGCCACGACTGCCGTATCAATACGCACACACACACACACACACATATATATATATACACAAAGAGTTGAAAATTAAATTTGAGGGAACGAAGAAAATTTTTAAAAAGTTGCAAACAATATTTTGCAGTACACACATAAAATTCAAAGTTGACCCGAATGATACAAAAGAATGTAAATAACGCGATTTAAGCTAGAACACATTTGTGTGTCATCGAAAACATCCATATACACATTGGCAATAAAATAATAATCAGGCAATGAATTAAATCTGGTAATGAAAAGTGAAAAAACGCTCATTCTTTACTCATTACTCATTCTTTTTAAAAATTAATTTGTTTCCTCTATTTAACATTATTCACATACCTAACAAATGCTTTCATTTCCAAGAGACATCTCGATAGTTTTGCTTTGTTGCCAATGTTAAAGAATGACACGAAAGTTCTGATCCAAGGGAAAAACATCTGCCAGGAAAGCGCACCAGCCAGTCGGCCGACTTCGTTTATTAGCTTATCCAGTTTTTGCCTCTTAGGATCGTCAGGCTTGAGTCTTTTACCGAATATAAGTGATGTAATGTTGTTTGACATACTTGGGGCTAACAACTCTGCAATTTTAATAGGAGATCCATGGTAGTCTTCCATGCGCTGAAGCAGTTCTAAGATCTCTTCCTACAGGAGAGTAATATTCATTAAATTTTTCTTTTTAAATAGCTACAAATTGGGAGTGTTCAAATATTTTGCTATATATTTGCATATATTTATGTATAACTACTAACTTCATGTTTTATCTCTTATTAATTCATTACTGCATTATTTATTTAGGATTCTATTTTCTTTACTTCTCCTACCTAGACCGTCTATTTCTATAAATTGTCATTGTATGTCGATGGGTCACTGAGCTAAAATATTTAGAGAACATTCTGCAGCAAATTATCAACATTTGGAAGACCAGTTAATTTTTACTTTTCAGTCTTATTTACTATAAATAATATATAAGCAAACTACACCGCAAATTAATTTTGTTTTGATATCGGCTGAGCTAAATTTTCACACTTTCTACAGTGTATATTAAATTTTCTCCACTTTTTGTTAGAATGAAGGAAAATAAACCTGTCTTTGTTCATTGAAAAAAAAAAATTATTCTTCGATGGCTGTAAAACAGGCATGCCAAACTTGCTACCACAGTGAAACCCTCGTTTCACCTCGAGAAAATAATAAGTATATAATTACAATATATTAATCCAAAATGGGAATTCCACTGGATATTGAAGCATTATATACATTACTGGGTATTAAAAGGACTCTGAACATGGTCTCTTTACAAAATTATTTTCTCAACGGATGTTGAGAATGGAATGGCAGATGAAATTAAAAGTACATTCGACTCTAAATTAAAGATTCGTTGAGGTGAGGATCGCCGAAAATTACAAAGGCTTTCCTGAGGTATTCCAGCAGCAAATTTGAATGCTCGGTAGTACGTATTACAGTGAACAACTTTTCTCATTTAACTGAAAACGAACAAGTCCCTGGAGAGGTGTAAGTCAACAACCTTCATGTGAACTTTATTCTGAAAACTGCTAGCGCGAGCAGCGTATCTCCAACCATCCATCTAAACGCTGGTTGCAGGAAAAAAAATACCAGGTGCCAGAAAAGAATCCGTTCCTTCAGTTTTTTAAAGAACTACAGTAATGGGTAAGTCTTTATGCATTTATTCACTCAAAGTATATCATAAAATATGAAAATGTCTTATTTTCTTACGCCTTTTTGTATTCCCGCATTATTGTACGCATTAACCATTTAGCTCATTTAAAATACTCTGTTTGACATGCCTGCTGTAAATTAACTAACTGAGCGGATTACGTGTTTTATGAGATTTCATTCTTTGCTAGGTCACATCATGGAAAACTACGTTTAGTTATACTCTCGGAATCAGTAATATTTGTAATAATAATTAGAAGTCAATTCGTAGTTCATGAGATTACGATTGATAAATTCAACGTTATCGGAATGTTGGGGTTCCTTGCATGTCCTCAACGCAATTTTACCACTATTTAGAGAGGTATACGTTTATAATTATATTATATATTGTATACAATCAAAATACTTGAAGAAAATACTTATTTATTTTAATTCTGATATTATAAATGGTATTATTATCTTTTTTAGCAAAATTTATGAAATGAAGCTATGTTTAATGCTTGATTTTAAGTAATATTTTTGTTAAAAGACCTTTTCGATGTTTCAGCAAAGTTTTACATGAAAAAGATAAAGAGATCCTTCATTACATTTTAAACTGACAGTCATAAAGCTGTCTTAGGTTAAATATATATGGCAAAGTCTACCAAGGTTAGCTCTTTAAGAGACAGACTGCATTCGTGAGGACTTTGTAAGGGAATTCACTCTTTTTCACATTGTACATGGAGAAAATTGCAAAAACCAACCATGCAGGTGGTTTGCCTGGGTTCGAGCCTGCCATAAACTACCTAAATTCAGCAGTCTTTAGTGGCTGGACCTCTGGTGGGGCGCATATACAGCATTTGTATTTCTTTATTTAGATACAGAAAAAGTTTGTAGTTTCACAAACGTTTTTGAAAAAATTATGCAATGCTAAACATTTGCAAATTTAACTTCCACTCAGAAAACATACTAAGTATTAAGAACTAAAAAAATGCTTTTACTTAAAATGTTCAATCCAATTTTTAGTAAGATACTATTTTATTAATTGCCTATTACTTTGTGAAGGCTTTGCAACGGGTTACAGTTCCTCTGTCTAAACCTCACCAAAGTCGCTGTGGCTGACACAGTTAGCAGAAGAAAGTGCGTTATGACCTAAATTCCATTTGAACAAAAAGCTGTTTAAACCTTTTTACGATTTCTGTTACTTCAGACATAGCGGTAATTCGCTTCACGGCTGTTAGTGTTTTGGGACTAATCAGCAATTACAGATGAATTAATACGACATGATTTACGCCCGAACAAATTACGAATCATGTCGCAAGACAAAGCAATATTTAGTCTGCCCTTCGCACTATTATAAGCTCCATTTGCACCAAAAAGTCCCATGGAAGGCGTCAGAATAATTGTAAATACGGTGCGAACGTCCATGAAACCAGCAACTATTTTTGACGGCAGAGCTTCGGTAGTGACCTTTTTGGAGCAATTAGAGACTTTATCTTACCCAGTTCCAGATATACAGAAGATCACTGTAGCAAAAATTTCCACAGTCGACAGGAAATCGAGACGAATAAGAGCAGAGCTCAGAAGAGCAAATTACTAATTGAAGATCCAGGAAATCAACGGCCGACAAGTAAACGGTCAATGGCAGGAATTTGTGCAGGAAAGAATGGACGAGTATCGCCGAGGCAAAATATAAGTGAACTTTATTTTCTTTAAGCTTAGCTTTCCATTTTAGTTATAAATTTACCTTAAGACTTTTAATTTCTAGTATAAACATGATACTGTGATTTTAGTCCAAAAGATATTTCAGCACATTTGAGAATTAGATATTGATAACTCTGGGCCTTGTGATGTAATGTGCAAATTGAGTTATTTTTTAATGTAAAATGAAGTTTAAATTTTTTCATGAAGTATGTTTGTTAACTGTTTTGTAAAATTTAACTGTTTGGATGCTGTGTATGATAAACTTAAATTACAAGCTAGTAAGTGATAATGATGAATTTAAACAGAAGATAGCTTAGTGAATGTAAGTAGCCAAAAGTAAGGCCAACGCGAAGGTTTTCATGCAAGTCAAGCTTAGGACATTTGAGTACAACCTTAAAATAACGTGTTCGCTGACATCTAGTGTGTCTAAATTATTAACATGTAGGATTTCAGGTAAGAGATAATTTATGGAAAACTTTGGATCTGCACACATAACAATGCTGGAGAGCAAGGGTGTGGAACTGATTGTAGAGAATGTGCAGTGTGTAAGAAAGATTTTCATGAAATGGAAATAGCAAGATGAAACGTATGAATATTAAAGATTGTTTGATAAAATATTGTCCTTCCCGATATCTGGAAGGAGACGTGATTCAAAATGAAAACAATGATGACATGAAGTTCTGTATCTGAAAATTGAAACTTCTGTAACATTTTAATTTAGCTTTAGACTTTTAAACTCGTGTTTTGTAAACGTCGGCTTGTGAGGTTCAGAATTTAAAATCTTAGCAAGGTCGTTAAAGGCCTTCATTGCGATCACTTAAGTTCTGGTGGGGGGAAATATAGGATTAGTAATTGAAACTAACCAGTTATTATAATTTGGATCTGTGCTTTAATTTCTCCTTTGCGTTTTACACACTATAATGTAAATGAGGTAGCTAGTATTGAAACTGAGGGTTCTGAGTTTCAAGACAGAACTCTTAGCATCGTCCAAGGAAATGTCTTTTCAGCCTCCAAAAACATTACTGCAGGAGTGCTTAAGGTTCCTATCTTGCACCCATTCTCTACCGTTAAGTAATCGATTTTTCCAAGGATAAAATGGATCATAACTGTCTGTTAGCTTGGCTGATGATACGTTGGTAGCCTTGAACTCTATCCAGCCAAATAACGACATTGCCAAACTCCAGGATTTTGATTTAGATATTAAGGACTGTTGCAAAAAATGAAGAATCAGTATAAACATCTCGAAGCCTAAGTTCCTGCTGTTAAGGGGGTAAAAGATTCGGGAAACAGCACTGAATAACCTCCAGTTATTTAGGGAAACTGTGAACCGTGTAAATAATGTAAGTTATCTAGGAGTTATCATTAATCAAACGCTCACGTGGATCTGTCATATTAAGCACGTCTTAGGTTGGCACGCCTGTGATATCGCCAACCAGCAATCTGTACTCCTAGGAAATTATTCTGGATTGTCTCTCAACAAAAATAGAAGGATATATTTATGCATTATAAGGCCAGTTCTAGGCTACGCAAGGCCTAGGCTGGTTCTAGGCTGGGCGTCAGCCTCAAAGGCAAACTTCCACAACCTTTAAGTAGTGCAGAATAAGATTCTGAGAAGAACTGTAAATGCTCATTACCTTGTAGAGACATTAGGCAGTTTTTGGAAGCAGGCAAGATAAAAAACATGCAACGCCTTCGTCGGGAATCGAACCACGGACCTCTGGAATAGGCGCCCAGCCTGCAAACCACCACACCACGAAGGCATGCCAAGAAGGCGGGAAAAATGCCTTATAACCTGATTAGAAACAAGCACATCTACGATGACTTGAAAATCGAGCCTATAATGGACCACATTACTAAATGAGTATTTCTTCGTAACTGGACTTAACTGTGTTACTGCAAAATTTTCAGAAATTCTTAGTTACCAAATCATTCCCGATGATAATTTCATCAGACTATTCTTTACTCAGATGCTTAAAGACTACAATTTCTCAACCTACCTTTGATTTGCCGACATTTGCTTGTTTTTCAGCGTGGCGTACCTTTTGTCTTTCGTTGTTTTCCATTTGATTGGCACAGAGACATTAGTACAGAGACAATGCCCCCCTTTTACCTCACTTTCATGACCGTTCTTAGAATTTTACCTACCAGCTCGTCAAACCCATGTGTCCTCAGAGGCTTAATTTTGTTATCTAGCTTATTGAGGCTCTTTCGGAGTTCACATAAAAAACTTATAAACCGTATCCGTTGCCGCGTTGAGGTAGAGCCTGTTCTGGCTTCGTATGCGCGCTACATATTAGTTTCTATTAATTCTGATAGTTGTAATTATTCGGCCATGTGTTTTATCTCAGCCGACGCTTTCCTTTTGACGTACTGGTAGAAATAGTGAAGCAACTTAGAATAATATTTAATTGCGCAATCTTTAATTACTGTTCCAAATTTAACTTAAATTTGACTGTTCTGTTTAGTTGCTTCACCACGACTGGTATCGTTAGCACAAGAAAATGTGGTTGCGTTCTCAATTCTGTTTGAATGAAAAAGGTTATTTAAAGCTTTTCACAACTTTGTAGTTGCTTCAGATATAACTATAATTCAGTTCACGCCTTTTAGAGGTTCTGCACTAATCAACATTACCAGATCAAATAAAACCCGACAGAGCTTTACAGCTATGATATCGTCATGAGTCATGTAGGGACATTATATATATTCCCTTTTTGGTTTGAAATATTTGCTTGTTTACTTTTCTTTAATAATTTAGCTATCATTCTGATGAGTGGAAGTTATGAAAACAAATAGCAGAGTAAGTGTTTTCATAAATATAAATAATAAATGTTGGGCATTAATACAGTTTTGTATGAGGAGATCCAAACTACCTGGTACCTCATAGAGTTAGTTTCAGGAATATGTAGCTTGGTGTAGCGCATACTTCAACTATGTTTCACATGCAATAACATTTACTTGTGTTAAAAGTTAAAAATAGGAAATTTCTTAAGACTTTGAAATAGGAAATCAAATTTCACCCGAAAACAATCATATTAACAGTAGGGAAACATTTCTTTCTAATAGTGAGAACAACTGAATCGTAAAACGTAGTAGAATTAATCGCTGTAAAGTAACAAACTTTACTTTTATGTGTTCCTCCATGCGCGTTTTACCGAAGCCAAGATCACGAAACATGTGTAAGGAGAATCTTCTTTGCTCTTTCCATGGCATGCCCAAAATAGCTCCGGTACCTGAAATAAAAATCAAAAGACATCACAGTGCATTAAATATGCATATAGAAATAAATAATTATTATACTTTTCTAAAAGATTTAAAATATTTCTCAGAGTACGTGTAACACATCGTACGTAATGGGGCTAAAATCTTCTTCCCCTTTCATAGAACTTTGATACAATGTCCTCTAGTACGGAAAACAGCTTCACTATAACGCGAAACAAATTTATTTACAATGCAGTGAAATATTTTGAGCCACAACATGCGTGTTGCATGGGGCTAAAATATATAATATGTGTACATAATGCCACTTACATATTGCTAAAGTATATAAAAGAAATTATTATATTTAGAATGCTTAGCAATTCTTTATCGAACTATTGCAAAGGAAAAAAACAAGACTTTTTAAAAGGCTGCCAGATTTAAATTTAAAATCAAAGAAAAGATTATTGATAAGAAACCAGGGAAAGTCAAATAAATTTAAACATATTTTCGTACTGTTGGGTCATACGAAGAACTCCAGATTTATATCATCAGTATCATATTCACTGAAACGAAATAAATTTACGATGTAAATTTTGTCAGTAGTAAAATATTTTGCCCTTCCTGCAAATGCAAAGAAATTCTTGCATAGTTTATTTGAGAGTAGGGAGTTTCGGTTATAAGGTATTTTTTCTCTTCTTTCTATATGGCTCGTGGTGTAACGGTAATATACTCTGTATATCTGTAGATAATAAAAATGTTATAAAATAATTCAGGGATTTTCGGCATAATTTTTAATATAAATTCGGTCATAAAGAGGTTAACCGCGTTAATCTAGCTCTTCGTTGCCCTTTTAGTAGCATACGAACTATATGTAAAAAATATATTATTTTATATTTAAGAGGAGTTTTTTTATTATTTACATAAACGAACTTGCATTGATTCAAATTAATAGCTTCAAAAAATATGTAATTTAAAAAACTACATATTTTAGGTGCTTTATTGTTGAATCCAACGAAAAACTTTAAAATGCATGAATAAAATAATAACAAACATAATCTGAAATATCATCATCAGCAGAAGAAAGGATAACAAAATATGAACTCGGAATAAAAATTTTAGAACATTTATACAAGAGTACGATAAGACGCTAATCAGGTAAATAACTTTAATGAAGAAATTCTAAGAAAAACTTAAGCTCAAATATAAATACAATTTTTTTGCTGGAACTGAGATAAATTTTTTAAAGCGTGGTTGTTATAGTAGTAATATTTATTAGTTCTGCACTGTGCAGTGAAGTGCTTTCTCAAAAGCAAAGAGTTATAAGGCTTTCAACAGTTTAGTGACAACTGTCAAATTTCCTAAAAAAACGTTATTATAGAAAGTTGTACTTAGTTTCAGTGAAACTACAGTCATTAGTAAATTAGGGTAAGGTTGCTATCGATGGGCGGGCTCCTTCGTTGATCCACCTCCTTTATTTTCTAGTTATTTAATAGTAGGCGCTACCAGTTGACCGTTTAACTGCATGAAGCTTGAAAATTGCCATTTAAATTGGGAAAAGATACACGCTCCAAAGATTGCTTTACAAGAAAGTAAGATTTTTGTATTTTCCTTCTAATTCATCAATGTATAGAAAATATAGATACCAGTAAGACGTTGATAGTGTTTTAGTTGTTACTGATAACATTTTAAAGTGTTAAATCAGCTTTATTTGTCTCTATTTACAATGATTGTTTACTTTGTTATAACCAAAACCACGGGCGTATTACATACCGGCTGCCAGTTGTTTTTAATGAGCCAGCAGCCTGTGTTGCCATAAATGGGTTAGTGGCCCAATAATGGACATATTGAGGCTAATATTTTGTAACTTTTTCAGTTGAAGAATAAAATGTCGTTGCATCTGGTTTAGTAAAAAGCTATTAAGAGTGATTAAAACTATACTTAGATACTGATCTCACTTTTTTTGTTATAAAGATAATTATAAACTATTAATCTAATTTTAATCTAAACCGGAGTATCCATAATTCGTGTGTAAAATAAATATTTTATTGAAATTATCGTAATTACTTCTTGCGTAATTTACGCCTATTTATAGTTTCTAAAATTGTATCGGCACAATAAATAGATTAAGAAACATTAAGGAACAAGTTTCTACGGCAGCGACAGAGAGAAGTAAATTTAGACGTTGTAACCCAGTTAAACATAGCAAGATTGTTTGGGATAGCATGTGAACAAGCAGCAACAGTAGGGACGGCAATGAATGGTTTTGCTAAAACAGGAGTCTGGCCAGTGAACAGAGATGTATTTTAAGACCCTCATTTTGTTGCAGCAGTGCTGCTTGAGACAAATGATGTTCCGCTTGCAGAAGTTGCTGACACAAGCCTAACTGCTTCTACTAGTGGACTGTCACATGACACGCAGTCTTCATGGAGAAAATCTGTTGCAACCATCACTGGAACAGAATCAGAACCGCTTCCAGCTGGTGCTTCAAATTGCTGTCAAACATAATTACGTTATCATGATAACATATTTGACATAATTTTCTACTCCTAGGTATGTGTAGTGTGGAAAGTAATATTTACATTAACACGTAAAAATCAATAAAATTGCCAAATTTGACGATTTTAAGACTCATTTTGTAAAAATGGCCCATCGATAGCAACCTTCTCCTACGCGCTTATTTCTGCTAATTTTCACTTTAAATTGTTTTAGGATTTTAGAACTTCATAATATGCTATCAGACTATGCAAGAATAATATTCACGCTTCTAAAAGTAAGAATAAGGAAAACAATTAATTACGTAAGGTATCTTCGCTGAGTTCGAAAGGAATATCAAGAGGTCTTCCCATGAAAACATCGTTTGCGAAAGCATCCTTTATTGATTGAAAATCACACAGCACCACCACAGAATAGCTGCCTAACTGTATTCTGAAAGAAGAAATCATTAAAATGTTCTCAAATTTCATTACAATGCACATTCTAAAAATTTAATTTAAAGAGGGGAAATTTTAACTATTCAATTTAATTGAAATCAATTTAAAGCTTTATGAGAAAATCAACAATCCTAGATATCAAAACGGAGATATTGCTTCAAAAAAGTAAAAAAAAAAGTAGAAAAATTAATGAGCCGCTTCCTTTATGAATTTCAATTGTAACAAAATTTGAAGTTCAATACACTGAAAAATTATTTATTATGTAAAAGTCTATACTAAATCATTGTCATATCATTTCTATAACATGCTATAATCCTCCCTATTAGCGCATAGTGTGTTTATTTTGGTTATTTATGATTAATTTTCTTAATGCCTTCTTATTGTGAACGAGGAAGCAATTAATTATCAGGGCCGTTCTAACATGCTTTTATAGTAGTTAACAGCATACGGTAGTGCATTTCTTTTGTTGGTGCTTTTCAATGCCTTTGCAGTGCCTTTCTAATATCTTAGAGTGCGCTATCTTTTTCTCACCTTTAATTATTCTTAGAGTGTCGAATGTCGTTAATAGCATAGTAATTTTTTTTTTTTTTTTTTTTTTCAGCTTGGAAATATCTTTCACTCAATGCTGCTCGTAAGATCATTAAGGGGCCGTTCTAAGGGCTTTCTGAGCTAACGGAGGAACCATAAAACTAAGTGCCATACACCAATAGCATAACCAGTTTTTTTTTTTGGCAATTTTTTTTAGTTTTAACGTTTTTAGCTCAGATTCCTAGGTAGTGCATGTTGCTTATTGGTTTTTTTTTTTTTTTTTTTTTTTTTTTTTAGTTTGTTCATGTTTTTGTGCTTTGGAGTGAAAAAATTATGTTTATTATTACACTCAAAGTCACTAATTTATATACAGTTATAAGGTATTTCCATTTTTCTTAGCATGCCTTCGTGTCAGCACGCTCGACGCGTATTCGAGTGGTACTGCTTCGAGTCCGGCGAGGGCATTGCTCGTTTTTATCTCTCTCAAAAAAACCTAAATCATACTGTCACAATTAAAGCGCCATTAGAAATTATTACAGTGACTCACATCCTTTTTTGGCCACATCCAGCCCTTTCACCATTCTAAACGATCATCCCCCCGTTTACAAAATTAGAAAAATAAAATACATGCACATTTATTTAAATTATTTTTAATGTGTTTTATAAGCTAACTTTTTTGTTCCAGATATTATTTTAATTCTCTTGTTATTCTTATTTCTACATTTCCTGAATCTTCCGATTTCAAAGTGGGCAGTACTTCCATTCACATGTCAATATTCGTTTTTAACTTTTGGCTTTCATTTATAAGATTATACTTGGTTTAATACTGCTACTTTGATCCTATAACCCTACCAGACATGCAGCGGTTATAGCTATAGGGGTTGAACAAAAATATGGAAACACCGAAATAAAAATATATTTCTGTGACTAATACAACGCAGGAAAACCATTCTTCAAAACTGCAAGCATTCAAAATAGCTTGCAGTCTTCTCGGTATGGATATATAGAAATCTTGTATGTTTTGCAAGGGAATATTGTACCAGTCTTCCTGTAAAATACTGGCAAGTTGAGTTAGCGATGATGGTAGTGGCTAACTCTCACGCAGTTTTCTCTCCAGAAAATACCACAAAGGCTCAATAATAGTGAATCTGATGCCTGTGATGGACACGGTAGACGTGAAAGTTCACCCTCATGCTCAGAAAACCAAAATCCAGTCCTGGACGATATGAGTGAATAGGAGCTCTATCGTCTTGGAATATGGCATCACAATTGGGGAGCGAAATTTTTACTATGTACATGATCATCAAAAATAGCTCCATAATCCTTGGCAGTAATGTAACCTTGCACATCAATGATGGGTCTGGCCCATGGAATACTACAATATGGCTGCCCAGACCATGACCGAACCCAGGCCATATTCCACTCTCGGCAGCAAACAGTCTCTATCATACGCTTGGGGCTGCGTTCGGCAGACGTAACCTTACCGCGAAGTTGGAAACACTCCGACCAAATGACAGTCTACTATTACGCTTCAATCCAGGTTTTATGACTTTCTCTTTTACAGGCATTTCATTCCACTTGTCTTTCTACAGGCATTTTCATTCCTGATGAGCGGCTTTTGAATTGAAATTCGCCCAAAAAATACCTTGCTTATGAAGCTCTCTTCACAATGTTTTGGTGCTGACAGGGTTTACGAGTGCCACATTTAGTTTAACAGTACTTTTTCGGATTATGTTTTATCACAATCGTCTTTAATGATTGTCTGTCATGATCCCTCAACAAGCATTATCATTCGCGGTGTGGTTTAGCTGATGCGGTTTTTATGATTTTCTTGTATAAGTTAAAAATCTCAGATAACGTGCTCTTGAAACGCGAAACACTTCAGCTACCTTGGTTACGGAAATACTCACCATAACCAGTCCTGGACAATTTGCCTACGTTCGAATTCATTTACCTCCAATATGATGCACTCACAACTGCACACAGCACTGTCCCGATAATTAATGACACTTGCAATGTAGTGAGGATGTTGCGCAGATGGCGTTAGTGAGCAAACCTATCAGCAACACCAATAGCTTTTACAAGAATAAACATTTCAATTCAAACATGCATTTTACGAGGTGTTCTCATATTTCTGTCCAACACCTGTACATCTCAGATAGTACGACAAAGTCTTATGAAGGTTTTAAAACAACTGTTTTTTAAACTGAGCTTTGCACATAAAGCCATGACTTCGTGCTACAAATAATTACAGCTTACAGCGATGCAAATAAATAAGAACAGTCAAACAAATTTAAAAGTTGATCTGCATTCAAAGTCTACACTGATAAATATTAAGCTGATCGATAAATTAACCGGAGCGTCAGATTTATGTATCGGGGCGAGAGAAACAAAAATAGAAATAGTTACATTTAACTAGATCTGGCAGAAGCTAACCATGTAGCATGCATGCCAGAAACACTCCTGAGGCATGAGAAACATGCCTCAGGATCCAAAAACCTCAGCTTAAAAGCACAACCGACTAATTTGCATTCTGATGAGGAATATAGAAAGAAGTAAATAAAGTAAAGACTAGAAACATAATAACAGGTTAGGCTAAAATAAGAACCTTATACATCTTTATGTGTGAGGTGAATACGAGCCATTTGCCATCAAAAGATTTTCCACAAAGGCAACCCTCCTCTTAGGCAGATGGCATTTCTATCTTTGTCGTATTCAAATAACCTAACGCAACTTTCTTTGTAAGTTTTCAGATGAGCATTCCATTACTTTGTCCACACTTAAAACATCTAATCGCTTTGTTTATCATATGTGTTAGTATAGAATTAGAGTTTTACAACCAACCGATATTTGACAAAAAATTCAAAGCAAAATGCGTTGCGTCATCTTATGGCGAAAGTAAGTGGAGCTGTCGAATGCACGGGCGCTGACCACTAAGCTCTATGGAGAGCTGTTCTACGTATAAGTGCTAACTGTTAATATAAGATGAGTTTAGGGGACGAAGTGCTTTTTTATGTAGAATTACAGAGCATAATATATGGATTAAAGAAAAGAAACTCAATAATCAGATCTCGGTTTGCTATAAAGTTTAAAGTTTTTGATAGAATGATGGTATTGATTGAGGTGGTATTGATTGATAATATCAATATCGATAATAATATCAAAATATTAATGAATCTAAACTCGTCTTCATATTTGGAGACATATGTAACAAATCAGTACGTAACAACTAAAAACTTCGAAACTTACTTTAGAAAATATCGTATAGGCTTCCCTTAAGTGTTTGACATAGCCTTATAGCTATTGATAGCAAGTTAATCATTTATAAATCTATTTTGCGTTCCGTGCTGTGTTTATGACAGTCCAATCTGGGCTTATTCTTGCAAAACAAACAGAAAACAATTTTAAACTGTCTAGAGTAGTGTGTTATTAAAATGTATCCTGGTGTTTCATACCAAAAAAGGATGCATAAAGAAATAAAAATTATCCACTTGAGGGCTTATCATCAATTAGCTTAACGTTTTCACGAAAGCATGGCCCGAATCAACAGTTCAGAAACAAAAATCTATAACTAACATTTTAAAAATTTAAATAATAGTAAACGGCCAATAACCGTCTTATATACTTAAATAATTACGTAAGTTTTGTGTATATATGTTGTATTAGCTTACTATCCTGTATTGTTCTGAATTATTTGTATATTATATATTTACGACACCATTTGATTTGTATTTACCTTACTATTCTTTAGTCACCATTTCGATGACTAATGAATGATGATGAAAAATGCTGAAGTAATTTGCAGGTTGATTTTTTCCCTTTACCTGTACCTTATATGCCTTTTAAGTTTATTAACAGGAAAGTTCCGAAATTTTTAATTCGGCTCGATTTGGATTAGAGCTTAAAGCCCAATTGTCTAATGCCTTTTCTATAGATATTTTACCAGGTGACTAATCTGGTTTATGTGAAACAAAATTAACCAGATCAGAGTCAAATGTGCTATTTTGTTATTCAGAGACTGAGTTTGGTTTTGCGCCTTAGTACGCTGTTGATTACCATGTAAGCTACAATAGTATTATTAAGAGCATCTACAATATGATTTTTAAAATTAAGCTTGTTATTAAAAACAGCTTTCAGGTACTAAAGTGTAAATAGGAAACTTCGCTATTAATTTTAATTTCCATATTTAAAATCTTACTACTACGACAACGTCGAAATAAAACTACTCAGCAGATTGTAATAACTACCCAACACGATCTCCATATCCTTTTTTATATAAGAAACGAAATATTAAATTTGTTTTTTAATTTTCCTTTCAGATGCGTTTGCTCTGAAAGGTCAATGTATATATATGATAAGCGCTTAGAATTCCCAGAATAATCGAATTAAAATAATTGCAATGTCATGAATTGAAACTTCCATTACAAATTACTTGCACTAAATTTAAATAAGAAAAAAATGAATAAAGATCTCAATGTCCGGTACTATTTAAAATTTTATTATCAGAAGAGGTGGATTCTTTATTTTTCCGTGATAACGTGTTTAGCCTTTGCTTAAAAAACAAAAAACTCAAATATAGTTTAATGTCAATCAGTATTATCTTACCGAGTTTGTTATCAGGTGAAAAACGTTCATTTTATTATGAATGCCTACTTGACAGATTGTATCGGCATTCGTCTTCTTTTGATGCTTTAAGAAAAAGTGATAATGTGACTGCACAATAACCTGCAATTATGTAACGTGAGAGTTTGAAAAAATTGTTGAACGGCTTTATATAGGAATTTTACCATCAGAATAATTTATGTCACTATATATCGTGCGGTACTGAATATAAGGCTTTTCTATTTCCACACACTCATTTAAGATAAAATTATAAAGTGAAATTTTGAAATGAAATTCAGCTCTGTCTAACAAGAAAATCAAGTTTATTTATTATTGAATAAATTAATATTAAGATATAGCGAAAGAGCAATATGATCAAAATTTAAAATTACTCTAAACATGTAGTTCATATTAATTAATTAAAATTATATAGACTTATCCTCAGTAAACGTGCATGTACTAAATTGCGAACTATGTGTAGTTTTTAGTAGAGCATCACATGGAGAAAAACCTATTGTGATTGGATAGTAATATCCAATCTTACAAAAACCACTTTCTGCCATTTATTCTGTAATTCTATTTTCTGCTAATAAAAATTATTTGGTATCATCTATGAGAGTTTTTCTGCTACTTTTCTTCAAAACGTTTAGAGCGTTCCTTATCTACCCAGACAAACTTAGCGCGATTTCGCATAAATTATTAATTTAAATTGAGTTTTACATTAAATTTTGCGTTACATCTATATCAGCCTTTTGAGTCTTAAAGATTAAAAATTCGTCTTTTAAGTTTCATTTAGTATACTCCGTTGTTTATTAAAAATAAAATAATGTAAATTACATCCCTTTTCTCTTATTAATATGTTGTTATATAGTTGGCATTGTGACTGATAGGAGAAATTTGACATATAATTGCTAGGTACGTTAAATGTATTTTCAGTCAGTCCTTTTGCCAAATGCTGTACTACTTTTGCCAGTGATACAGACTGCAGAAGCTGTATTTTCATCTACCCCTCAAACAGGTTCCAATAAGAATTTGATATTATTAATGTGTGGTGACTGAAAATATCAGGGGAACATTGTTTGATTTGATCTTCGAGCTCTTTGCGATGGATGATACGAAGATACGAAACTCATGTGCAGTCTTCTCACAAGTAGCAATTTAAAAGTTTGCGCCAGCCGTTCGAGCCATTAAAAGGTGTTAGATCACATGCTCTCGCATTACAGAAGCAATAACGTTTTCAGTAATGTCTGTGCTTGACATTTCAAAAGTCGTAATTTCACTACCAACAATTTAACATGAGAATTAAATGTATAAAAATTTTTAAGGAGTCAAAAGTGTTTATCACTATGATGTATTATTAAATATAATTTAAATAAAATTCCTTTATAGAAATTGTGCTATAATACTCATCTATAATTTTAAAAAAGCAGCACAATTTACAGTTTTAAACACAACTTTCAAAAATTCGTATTTAAATATTTTAGTATTTTTTACTTATTTACACCAATAAAAAGCATAAAAATTGCTTGTTTGAAATTTTCTATTAGTTCAGGTTTAAAATATTATTTTCTAAAAGAAGTAGTTAAAAATTTCCTTACAGCATAGAAAAGGCTAAAGAAATATCCAGCCCGGAAAGCATTATATTATTTGGAACTTCAATTATGCTTGATAAATATGCTAAATTTTTAAAAATCAATATCAATTTCAAAAATAAAAAATATGTAGAAATTCTAATTTGTGAAATGAGGCGCTACAACCAGCTTTTTCTTGACAATTATACACGCTGCAATAGGCAACCAATGTTAAATTTCTGCAAGTCGTCCCTACTCCTCCGGATGTGATCAAGGTGACAGCCAGCAGGCCTCAGACGAGGGAGAAAACCCGTTTGGGTTTGTCTATTTCTTATAAGGTCCATGATCTTGATGCAGTAACGCAACTTCTTTTAATTCTCAAACTCTTTTAATTCTACATTAATTGGCATTAAGGTCTTTTTTCTCCTGTCATCAAGAATTCTGTTGTTAAAGATTCCCATCACTCTGTTTTATTCTTGCTTGATTTAATAGATCGGATTGAAAAAGGTTTGAAATTTATCGTCAGGGAACATAAATCGTGTTTTCCAAAAGGAAAAATTAAACAAAAATTCGAGAGTTAATCACGGAAAGACCCTGATTTACATTTTTCTTTGTATTTGTATTAATTGTCCAACATGTTGTATCACTTTTAATATTCTTGCCACTGTTTTTTATTACACGAAATTAAATAATGAAAAATCTACATGAATATATCTCGCATTGTGAAAAAACAATAGTACCTAGAATAATCAAATTTTGAATAATATAGTCCTCCACCCGAATATGGGCACCTGGAAGCCGGAATCGGGACTCTGAAATTTGTTTTACTGTCTATTTCATATTTGTGAAATTTTAACGAATTTATGATTAAAAAAATTAAGCG